AAAAAACGTGGATTTTTAAAATAAACTTTCAGGGAACCAATGAATAAAACGTGGATTTTTAAATAATATTTTCAGGGAACCAATGAATAAAACGTGGATTTTTAAATAATATTTTCAGGGGACCAATGAACACAACGTGGATTTGATAAAGAATATTTTCAGTATTCTTTAAAAATAGATTTTTAAAGAATACTTTCAGGGGTCCTATGAAAAAAAAAAATAAATTTTTAAAGAATACTTTCAGTGGCTAATGAACAAAACGTGTATTTGTTAAAGAATACTTTCAGGGGACAAAACGTGGATTTTTAAAGAACGCTTTCAGGAGAGTAATGAAAAAAACGTGGATTTTTAAAGAATACTTTTAGGGGACCAATGAAAAAAAGTTGGATTTTTAGAGTATACTTTCAGGGTAACAATGAACAAAACGTGGATTTTAAAAAAATACTTTCAGGAGAAAAAAAAACTTGAACAAAACGTGGATTTTTAAAGAATACTTATAGGGGATCAATGAACAAATTTTTAGAGAATACTTCTAGGGGGACCTGAAAACCAAACGTGGATTTTAATGAATACTTTTAGGGAACCAGTGAAAAAAAACTTGGATTTTTTAGGGAGTCTTGGAAACAACGTGAACTTTTAAAGAATACTTCTAGGGAGTCTTGGAAACAACGTGGATTTTTAAAGAATACTTTTAGAGAGTTTTGGAAACAACCAGGATTTTTAAAGAATACTTTTATGGAGTCTTGGAAACAACGTGGATTTTTAAAGAATACTCTTAGGGAGTCTTGGAAACAACTTGGATTTTTAAAGAATACTTTTAGGGAATCTTGGAAACAACGTGGATTTTTAAAGAATACTTTTTAGGAGTCTTGGAAACAACGTGGATTTTTGAAGAATACTTTTAGGGAGCCTTGGAAACAACGTCGATTTTTAAAGAATACTTTTAGGAAGCCTTGGAAACAACTAGGATTTTTTTAAGAATGTTTTTAGGGAGTCTAGGAAACAACGTCGATTTTTAAAGAATACTTCTAGGGAGTCTTGGAAACAACGTGGGTTTTTAAAGAACACTTTTAGGAAGTCTTGAAAACAATGTGGATTTTTAAAGAATACTTTTAGGGAGTCTTGGAAACAAGGTGGATTTTTAAAGTATTCTCTCAGTAGACCATTGGAAAATTAAACCCTAACTATGTGCCTATTTCATCTTCTAATAATTTTTTTCATTTTGAAATTCATAAATCAAATTTGAATTTTTACAACAGAAGTATTTGAGCTTACATAGAAAAATGTAAGCGCAAATACTTTTGCCACTTAGTGTTCTCCTGTGGCATTTTTCGCATACCCTGATTTCAACACTAAAACAAACACTCACACACAAACAATTTTATAACTTAATAACGAACCGTTAAGACAAGACAATCAAAATATTTGTTTATGTAGTTGTAATCTACTTCAGAAAATCACTCTCCTTCTTTTGTGAGGTGGGGAGAGGGACTTCCAAATGTAATCTAGATTAGCTCCCATAAAATAATAAAAACACAAGATGGTGACATGCTCTCTCTCTCCCTATCCCCCTTCTCTCCCTTCAAACATTGAGCATTGAGTCACTGAGCAGCATAATAACAACAACAACAATAGTATTTTTATTTTGGCTACAGCCATTACCGTTATGAATGTCTTGGCCAAGCGGCTATTTCGGCTAACAAGCAGCAAAAGTTGTATATAATTAACATTGTCCGTCTGTCCGTTTGTCTCTCTGTCGCTTGGATAAGTGACAATGACAGTAAGGCGTGTCGATTTGATCCCCTCTTGACCAACCTCAATCTATTTGCTTGTTCGCCTGCTCGCCATGAAAACACTTAATGTCAAACAAAGCCAAGACATTTCATCCAGCCTTCCACCAACACAAACAACTCCTACAGATAAACACATGCACACGCACACACACACACACAGAAAACGTAGAGACAACCACTTAACTAAACGCACATTCTAAGGGCCTTAAATAGTTGCTCCCCAGAGTCACATAACTGTAAATGAACACAATGGCAAATGTGGAGTTGATAAATTCTAATATTGCCTAGTTCCGACCTCTATACGTAAGGAAGGAACAGTTAAGGAGGTAGACATGTTTCACAAGATTTGTACAAACAATCAAGATCTCTGGCTGGACACGCAATGGCAATGAAAGGTAGCTGAAATGTTGGAAGATTTTTCTATTTTGATATAATTTTTTGGTGTATACTTTCAGGAGAAAATGGGAAAATTGGATATTTTCAAAAAACCCCCGGGGATTTAAACTTGGATAATTAGAAGGATATTTTCAGAAGGCTATGGGAACATAAAACGTGGATATGATCAGGGGAGCTGATAACGACGATATTTTAAGGGATATTTTTCGAAAATGCGGGTTTTTTCAAAAGACCAGGGGAGCTGAAAAAGTAAATATCTTAAAGGATATTTTAAGAAGACCATGGGAGTTAAAACGTGAATCTTTTGAATCATATGTTCAAAAGAGCATCGAACCGAATACTTGGATATCTTCAGGTTGAAATAGCAAAACAAGTAGACATTTTAAGGATATTTTCTGAAACATGAAGGTATATTTTTTGAAAACCATTGGAGCTAAAAACAAGTATGTTTATGGAGAATTAGCGGACTATAGAATCCAAAAATATGGATTTTTGAGGAATATAAGCTTTGAGGAGGTCATAAGGGAGATTTTAAAAAATATTTGAAGATGGGCATAACGTGGATTTTTAAAGAATATTTTTAGGTGCCTATAGAACCCCAAAACGTGAAATTTCATAGAATATTTTCAGGCGGTCATAATTTAAAATTTTAAAGAATATTTTTAGGAGGCTGTAGGACTTAAAAAAGTGATATTCAAATTATATTTTTAGCCTGTCATAACGTGGATTTTTAAAGAATATTTTGAGGCGGTCATAACATGGATTTTCAAAGAAAATTTTGAGGCGATAATAACGTGGGTTTTTAAAGAATGTTTTGAGGAGGTCATAGAGGTGATTTTAAAGAATAATTTTAAGGTGGTCATAACGTGGATTTTTGAAGAATATTTTTAGGAAGGCATAACGTGAATTTTCAAAGAATATTTTGAGGCGTGGATTTTTAAAGAATACTTCGGGGTGGTCTCAACATGGATTTTTAAAGAATATTTTGTGGCGGTCTCAGTGAGGATTTTTAAAGAATACTTTGAGGAGGTCATAAAGGAATGCTTTTAAAAACTACTTGGAGGAGTTCATAAGGGAATGATATTTTTAGGAAGGCATAACGTGAATTTTCAAAGAATATTTTGAGGCGGTCATAACGTGGACTTTTAAAGAATACTTCGAAGCGGTCTCAACATGGATTTTTAAAGAATATTTTGTGGCGATCTCAACGTGGATTTTTAAAGAATACTTTGAGGAGGTCATAAAGGAATGCTTTTAAAAACTACTTGAAGGAGTTCATAAGGGAATGATTTTAAAAAATATTTTAAGGTAGTTTTAAGGTGGATTTTAAAAAATATGTTAAGGAGGCTAAAGAACCCAAAAACTTGTATTTTTAAAGAAATTTTCAGGAGGCTACAGAACCCAAAAACGTGGATTTTTTTAAAAAAAAAATCATTAATTTTTAAAGAATATTTTCAGGAGGCTATAGGACCCAAAAACGTGGATTTTTAAAGATTTTTTTCAGGAGGCTGTAGAACCCAAAAACGTGGTTTTTTAAAGATTTTTTTTCAGGAGGCTATAGAACTGAAAAACGTGGGTTTTGAAACAATTTTTTTCAGCAGACTATAGAACCCAAAACCTTGGATTTTTTAACAATTTTTTTCAGGAGGCAACCTGTCAAAAAAATTATTTTTTTCATGTGTCAACATGATTTTTTAAATAATTTTTTCAGGTGGCAACGTGTTCAAAGAACGTGGATTTTTTAAGATTTTTTTCAGGAGGCTATAGAACTTAAAAACCTGGATTTTTAAAGATTTTTTCAGGAGGCTATAGAATCCAAAACGTGGATTTTAATGATTTTTCAGGAGGAAACATGTCTAAAAAACGTTGATATTCAAAATTTTTTTCAACCAAAACCAATTTTTTTTCAAGAACCAAAAAACTTATTTGTTAAAAATTTTTTTCAGGAGGCCACATGTCCAAAAAAACTTTGATTTTTAAAGATTTTTTTTCAGGAGGCAACATGCCCACAATACGTGGATTTTTAAATTAAAAACGTGGATTTAGATAGTTTTGGGGACATATCCTCCAAAGTCAGTCAAGCACTTCAGATTAATTTGTGAGAATATTTCTTATTAGTTTTTTTTTAGGAACGAACCTCCACCGTTTGCCATATTTAAAAAATGAGGCTCTGTCATAATATGAATCTTTTAGAGATTATATTTCGTGGATCCATTCAAAATGTTTTTTCATAACGCTAAACTTTTGTTGATTTTATTTTTATAGAATGGCCTTTTTAAGCCAATGTCCCCATCAAATGTGCCTAATGAGCCGCTTAATCCATAGCGGAACGCAAGACATAGTGGTGAGCGTGTGATAGTATCTAATTGGCTTCCCAAATGCAACATTTTGGCAAATTTCTCGTCTCGAAAGGGACCTAAATGAATACATTTTTAGAGATATTAATTTTAATTTTTAAATTTTCTCATAATTCGATGTGTGGCCGACTACCTTTAATTTTATGCCGTCTAAATGCACTTTTTATTATTTTTTTAAATTTATTTTACGATTAAATCCTAATTGCCACACAGACTTCTCAATGACTACTCTAGCCTTCTAACTTTCCCACAATATGCAACTCCCCCAAAGTATGCTTCATTTCTTGAAACACTTATTCTCCCCCGCTCTTCTAAAACAAAGATAATTTCTTTATTTATGTTATTGACATTACAAATCATTTAGATTAGATTAACGAAACGAAACCATCGACCGACCAACTGAAAAGGAAAGCCAGTCAGCTATCGGAAGATTTAAATTTCCAAACGTTGACCAATTACCAGGCAATTATATTTTAGTATTGGTAGCGTTAGGTAGTAGAGTTTAGACTATAAGGAAATAAGTTCTATTTTTATAAGAAAACAAGAAATATGCTGATCAAAAGCACAGTTATTTTTGGACTGGCATTGCTAATTCGGTTATCAATTCAGGTGGGTGTCTGCAAAAAATACGAGACGAATAAAAACAAACCAATTTGCAAAACAACAAGTGTTTGGACTTTTGGAAAACAACACGTTATTAACCCCGTTTATTGCCGCCACGATAAGGCCAACAATGTTCAATTGGTTTATTATTGTTATTACTGTTTTGATTGTTTCAGGCCAGTGTACCCTCTGATTCACATTACAATGCCGGGGTGGTGGAATTTCGTTCGGCCTCGGCCTTGACATCAGCGGGACGTTTGAATGATAACTTGCAAGGATATTTGGATATATTGGCTCAGCAGGAAGCCGAAAATTTGGATATTGTTATCTTCCCCGAAAGTACTTTGAACAGCAACGATCAATCGACCTTTGTACCGGATCCCACGAAATTGTTGGTGGCACCTTGTGATGATGTGGAGAATGTCTATCATGACTTCCTCAAGCAATTATCCTGTGCCGCCCGAAAGTATGCCCGTTATTTGGTCATAAATCTCACCGAAAAAGAGCTATGCTCCAGTGTACCGGACGATCCCAGACCCTGTGCCAGTTCCGGCCTTAATATCTACAACACCAATGTGGTATTTGACCGTCTGGGTCAGGTTATATCGCGTTATCGCAAAGTCCATTTATATGGTGAGAATAAAAATTCCACTTTGTTGCCGGAGTATGGCTGGTTCGACACAGATTTCGGTGTCCGTTTTGGCCATTTCATTTGCTTCGATATTTTGTTCTACACCCCGGCCCAGGAAATGGTCGATAAATATGGCATCAAAGATTTTATCTTCAACACAATGTGGTTCTCGCAGCTACCTTTCTTGACCGGTGAGTACAAAATAACAACAAGGAGATTAGACAGATAGAAAATTATTTATGTCTGCATCGGAATCTTATCGGCAAGTGGGAAATATAGTAAATATCGATCACGCAATGGCGTGTGAGAGTGATAAGGTAATCGGAAAGCGGTTGCGGTGCTTCTAAACGTGACGCTGCACAAGAGTTGATGGGGTAATAAATATTTGCAACGATGTTGGCGAGCAGGAAATGACAAAACAAAAAAAAAAATTCTGAGAAGGACCTCTGAGGTTATTTTTTGAGATAAATTTTTTTAATTGAAAAACGTGTCCAGGACACACTTTTCTACAGAAAAAAATCACCAGGAGCAGGACCCAGAGGACACTTTTTTCTATAGAAAAAAATTTCTCTGGACCCTGAGGACACTTTTTTTCTATAGAAAAAATTTCTCTAGACCGTGAGGACATTTTTTCTATAGAAAAAATTTCTCTAGACCGTGAGGAAATTTTTTCTATAGAAAAAATTTTCTCTGGACCCTGAGGACATTTTTTTCTATAGAAAAAAATTCCTCAGGACCCTGAGGATACTTTTTTCTATAGAAAAAAATTCCTCAGGACTCTGAGGACACTTTTTTCTATAGAAAAAAATTCCTCAGGACCCTGAGGACACTTTTTTCTATAGAAAAAAATTCATCAGGACCCTGAGGACACTTTTTTCTATATAAAAAAATTCCTCAGGACCCTGAGGACACTTTTTTCTATAGAAAAAAATTCCTCATGACCCTGAGGACACTTTTTTCTATAGAAAAAAATTCCTCATGACCCTGAGGACACTTTTTTCTATAGAAAAAAATTCCTCATGACTCTGAGAACCCTTTCTCAGGACCTTGAGGTCACTTTTTCAGATAAAAAAAGTTCTTCAGTTCACCAAGGACCCTTTTGTTATTGTCCCATATTATTTGTGTTTCATTTTTTAATTCTTGTTTTCCTTTCACTATTCCAGCCGTTCAAGTCCATCAGGCCTGGTCCTATGCCAATGATGTAAATTTCCTGGCAGCTGGGTCCTCAAACCCCTCGGTCGGTAGTACAGGTTCTGGTATTTACAATGGACGTAATGGCATAATTGTTGCCACCATGAATACCGGTCTGGGAGAGCGTAAACTCTACACAGCCAAGGTACCGAAATATGAAACTCAAACTCGTCGCCAAAGAAGATCCATTGTCCCGAAACCCACAATACGTCTCTCCAAACCTGATATCTTTTTAAAACGTGATTACTTGCAAAGTTATGAAAGTGTTCTGGTCGATTTGAAACAGGGAACGCAACTCCAAAAAGATCTCTGCTTTGCCAACACCTCCTTCTGTTGCTCCTTCGATTTGAAATGGCAGCCGCTGGCATTACAAGAGAACTCCGTGCACTACATCTATCGTCTGGGCGTCTATGATGGTCTGCGCAATGAAGTGGCAGCCGAAACCAATTTCTTGAAAAATTGTGCTGTTTTCAGTTGTATTGGTGAGGATATCATGGATTGTGGTAAAATTTTCGATTTCGATACAGATGTGGTGTTTGAAAATGTTACCATTACCGGTACATTCCCCAAGGCGAATGGTTATCTCTTGATGCCGAATAGTTTGAAGGCAGCAGATGTTATGCCGGTGTCGGTGGGCCAGTTTGAGTGGTCTGAAGTGGCTGCAAAGAGGTGAGTTTTATGGAAATTAAAAGTAAGAAGGGTCTAATTTTCTTGTTGTTGTTTTGTTTTCTATTCCAGCAATCAAATCCAGGTTCGTTATTCTTTGAACACCACCACCAGCAACCTTTTGGCCTTCTCCATTTATGGCAATTACTATGATAATGATGTTCATGTTGAGAGCAAAGGTGATGGCGCCATGTCGATTGGTATTTCTGTATTGTGTGTTGTTGTTGCAGCTTTATTGAACTTAGTTTTATAACAAAAATGTGAGATTGTAAATATAAAGCTTTGTAAATAAATTAATAAAAAGGGAAATAAATGAGAATGTAGTCATTATCTGGGAAAATACGAAGTTTTCTTTAGAAAATAATTGTTTTTTTGGAAAATCTTGATTATATTTTCGATGGAAAAAGGTTTTCCGTTGATTTTTGTTTTTTATTTCAATTCATTTGAGCCATTTTCACCGAAATAAATGGATTTTAATTAGTTTTCACTGAAATTCCTTTCGTTGATTTGTTACGCCTCAAAGTATGCTTTGAATTTGATTAATGCAAGCAAATGCTTTAATGACTGCATGAATGTCAATGAAACGATTAGATTTGGCGGTTTTTAAGTAAATGAGAGAGAGAGCAAGAGTGTATTAATGTGAGAGAAGAGCACATATTTGTTATTTTCAAGTGCATTGGGGTTATTAGAAATAACCCATTCCCATTGGAGATTTAGTTTTGCTCTGTTGTTGAAAGTGTGTGGTGGATGGTGTCGCAAAGAAATTAAATGCTTGTGTCAAAGGTTTTTGCTCCATCCATGAACAAGAGTTTAAGTCTCTGGCGTATGCTACGGCTAGCGTTGCTGTTGTTGTTGTCACAAATTGTAAACAAAAGCGTAAGCACAAAACTGACCTAGCGTTGCTGGTTTTCTATTGTCTGTTTTGATAATTATAATAATCTCTCATTTTTTTTTAGAAAGCTCAATATGTAAATGCTAGTAATTTCTATACAGCTGGAGTTGTGGAATTCCGTCCCACAATAGCCGGCATGTCATCGGCGGATTTAGTAGCTGATCACTTAAGGGCATATCTAGAGATAATTACCTCAAACGAGGCAGCAGATGTGGACATACTTGTATTTCCGGAGGGTACCTTGAACAATGCCCTACAATTAACCTATGTTCCATCCGAAAAACAAGAGATCATCCCATGCTCCCACCCCAATGCCACAGAATATGCCGAGTTTTTAGTTGCACTCTCTTGTGCGGCAGCCCAAGTCCGCAAGTATTTGGTTATTAATTTAAGTGAAAAGGAAGACTGCCCCGCCACGCCGGCCGATACCAGGCCCTGTGCCACGAACGGCCTGAATGTTTACAACACAAATGTGGTCTTTGACCGTGAGGGTCGTATAATTTCACGCTATCGTAAAGTCAATATTTATGTGGAGAATAAAAACACCACCCTGCAACCGGAGTATGGCATGTTCGATACGGATTTTGGGGTGCGTTTTGGCCATTTCATATGCTTTGATATGCTCTTCTATACGCCGGCCCAGGAATTGGTACATCGTTATGGTATCAGTGATTTGATTTTCACCAGCCTTTTTTATTCGGAATTGCCATTTTTAGCAGGTACGATGAGTGTTCTCTGTTTGTTTGTTTCTTAGCTGCTTTATCATCGGTTTATGAGGCCAAAACGCAATTGCGATAATACTTGTAATCTGTTTTGTGTTTTTTATTTTAGCCACTCAACTTCAACAGGGCTGGGCATGGGGAAATAATGTAAATTTATTGGCAGCAGGTGCAAGCAATCCCCGCGCTGGTAGCACTGGAACGGGCATTTTTTCGGGCAGAAAAAGGGCCCTGGCTTCGGTGATGATAACCTCCGGCGAGGGAGAAAGAAAGCTGTACAAGGCCCGTGTGCCAAAGAAGGGAACCCTGGATTTCGATTATGAGATTGATTATGAAAACTCTACGAGGGGGGAAGAGAAACTAAACTCCTCTACTGGTCGCCATTTGGATGGCATGCGTCTTCTAAAGGATCCTCAAATCGTGAATTTCAATTCAATGTTGCTGCCACTTGGCCAAAGGATATTTGAAAAAATTTGCCATGAAGATTTTTGCTGTGAATTTTCGCTTGAATCCGAACTCGTGGAGGCTCACAACAACACTCCAACCTATAAATATCGCATGGGTGTATTTAGCGGTAGCCGTAGCTATGAAAAGGATCAGCGTAATAACATTAAAGTTTGTGGCATTTATAGCTGCCGCAATGATCAGCCCGAAAGCTGTGGAGAGCTGTGGGAATCGGAAGAGTTTAATAGTGAAGTGTATTTGACAAATATCCTAATAAAGGGGAAATTTCCCAAGGCCCCAGAATTATTGATAATGCCAAGTAGCTTGGATGCCAATTTAAATCCCGTGATGGGCGGTGAGGCCTATTGGAAGTATGAGCCACAGAAGTAAGTTAGAGAAATTGGAATAATTTTGGGAATTTTGAAAAAATTTGTTTTTTTTTTGTTTACAGCAAACACATTGATGTCGATGTTTGGTTGCACGGCAGACGTCGTGATATAATGACCTTTGGCCTTTATGCCAACTATTATAATTCAGGTGTTGGTGCCATGGTTCTTAACAAAATGTTGGCCATATTTTTGGGGGTGATTTTTATTTTTATGGTTAAACAGTAAAGCAAAAAATGGGAATTTTTGGTTTTAAAAATCTCTTAATTCAAAATCTTAAATATTTTTTTAAACAAAAAATGCGTAACGTTGCTTTGCCAAAAATCAAGCTGGCTGTAAACATATTTTCAATACGTGTGTAAAAAAGTATTAGATGTTTGTAAAAAAAAGTTAAAGTTTAAGATTACATCCCTCAAAGGGATCTCTTTAATTTTATTTTAAGTATAGCCCCCCTCCCACTTCTGCTAAAGCCCCACATTGTAAATTTCCCAGATTTATAGACTTTAATTGCTATCAATCGTTTTCCTTTCCATGCTCATCCTTTATCCCTTTGTGACACTGTGTGTGTGTGTGCTTTCTCCGCCTGTGTCTAATGACACACACACACACAGCCTCCCCCCCCCCCCTTATTAAATAATTCCCACACCCCCAATGTATTGAAAAATTTCTTGGTTAAAAGAAATCATTATTGGAAATCTTTTAATGATGACAAAATGATACCAAAATTCAAAAACCTTTTTTTTTTTGGGAGGGGGAGACTGGATTGTTATGTCAAAAACTAAAAAGTTTTCTAAAGGATATGAATGAATGGTTGGATGGTTGTTGCTTGAATGAATCAATGAATGGATGAGCGGCAGAAGCAGCAGGTAGCTAAGCACACAGCGTGTGCTGAGTTTTTTTTTCGAGCTACACGTTTTATGAAAAGAAAAATGTTTTTAGAATTTTTTTTTTTTACTTTAACCAAAAAAGACTGGGTGCAAAGGCGAAGAAGAAGAGTAAGAGTCCTTTCACCGAGAAAACAGTTTTAACAAGGTACAGGCCATCAGGCAGGGAACACACTCGAAAAAATACACAAATACATACAGCAAACATACGCAGAAACAAACATGGGAACGGTGTGGCCATATGATTTAAAAATATTACTTCACAAAAGGCGACCAAAAATTAACTAAATTAAAATTTCATTCAAAAATTTTTTTCTGGGAAGAAAATAAAATATTTAATTTTTATTTTTTGGAAAATTATGACTATATAAATGAATATATGAATACCGCCTCAAAAGGCGACCAAAAATTAACTAAATAGAAATTTCATTCAAATGAGAAGAAGAAGATAAAATATTTTAAATTTTGTTTTTGAAAATAATGACTATATATATGAATATATGTATAGAGAGTAAAATAAATTTGTGCTAAATTCCGACCAAAATATGAAAACTAACAACTTCATATAAAAATGACCAAAAATATCTTCGTTAAGATATCATTAGAGAAACACAGCAAAAACAGCAGTGAGGGTAAAAATGAGAAAGCTTACCAATTTTTTTTAACTATAAAATTAATTTTTTAATTTCCGACCAAAAAAAAAATAAAATAAAAAAATAAAAAGCCTGACCATTTTGCAACAACAAAATAAAATAAAATTTAAATTCAACTCTAAATATCTCTATGAAATTATTTGAAAGTCTGAAGAATGAAAAATATGTCTTCAAATTTCAATTTCGACCAAGGAAGTCAAAAAATACCAAAATTATTTTGGTCGGAAATAATGAAAATATACTAAAATTCCTAAGAAATTCGGATATTTGAATGCCTCAAAAAAGAAAAGCATTTTTCCAAGTTTTCATTTCGACCAAAAAGTAAAAAATACCAAAATTATTTTGGTCGGAAATAATAAAAATATACCAAAATTATAATCTCATTCCAAAATTCCCATGAAAATCGGATATTTGAATGTCTCAAGAAAGAAAAACATTTTTCCAAATTTTCATTTCGACCAAAAAGTAAAAAATACCAAAATTATTTTGGTCGGAAATAATAAAACAATATACCAAAATTATAATTTCATTTCAAAATTCCCATGAAATTCGGATATTTGAATGTCCCAAGAAAGCAAAACACTTTTTTCAAGTTTTCATTTCGACCAAAAAGTAAAAAATACCAAAATTACTTTGGTCGGAAAATATACAAAATTATAATTTCTTGCAAACATTTTTACGAAATTGGGATATTTGGATGTGTCGAAGAAGAACAATTTTCTCATATTTTATATATTTCGACCAAAAATTTTGAAAAAAACCAAAATTATTTTGGTCGAAAATAATGAAAATATATATAAAATTATAATTTCTTCCAAACATTTTTATGAAATTGGGATAATTGAATGTCTTAAAAAAAGGACAATTTCCTCAAATTTTTATTGCGACATAAAAGTAGAAAAAATACCAAAATTATTTTGGTCAAAAATAAAGAAAATACACCAAAATCGAGAAAGACAATTTCCTCAAATGTTCATTTCGGCCAAAAAAAAAATAATAAAAAAAGACCAAAATTATTTTGCTCCAAAATAAAAAAATACACCAAAATTATAATTTCATCCAAAAATTTCTACAAATTTGTGATATTTCAATATAAGAAGAGAGAACAATTTCCTCATATTTTAATTTCGATCAAAAAGTAAAAAAGGACTAAAATTTTTTTGGTCGAAAATACACCAAAATTATAATTTCATTTAAAAATTTCTCTATAATTAGGATATTTGAATGCCTCGAGAAAGGCAATTTCCTCAAATGTTCATTCGGCCAAAAAAATTAAAAAAAGACCAAAATTATTTTGGTCAAAAAAAAAAAAAAAAAAAAAAAATACACCGAAATTATAATTTCATCCAAAAATTTCTACAAAATTGTGATATTTCAATATAAGAAGAAAGGACAATTTCCTTATATTTTAATTTCGATCAAAATGTAAAAAAAGACCAAAATTATTTTTCTCGAAAATTAAGAAAATACACAAAAATTATAATTTCATTGAAAAATTTATATGAAATTGGGATATTTCAATATCAGAAGAGATAACAGTTTCCTCAAATTTTCATTTCGATCAAAAAGTAAAAAAATATCAAAATTATTTTGGTCGGAAATAATGAGTATAATTTTATCCAAAAGTTTTGACGAACTTGGAATATTTGAAAATCTCGAGAAAAAAAAGTATTTCACATTTTCATTTTGATCAAAGAGTCTATTTTTCGACTCTAAAATTATAATTTCATTAAATTTTTTTTTAGAAAGAATAATTTCCAACAATTTTTATTTCGACCAAAAAGTAAAAAAAAAAAAAAAATTTGGTCAGAAATACAGAAAATTTGTTCAAATTTCAAATTTCAATCAAAAGTTCCTACAAAATTGGGATATATCAAGAAAAAACAATTTCCTCATGTTTTCATTTCGACCAAAATTAAGAAAAATACGAAAAATTATTTTATTGAGAAAAAATTAATATACGCCAAAATTATAATTTCATCCAAAAATTTGTACGAAATTGGGATATTTTTATATTTTTGTTTGGGTTGGAAAACTTTAGTTTTTTTTATTCAGAAAAAATAGCATTTTTAGGCAAAAATCTTCTCTGAACATTTGATATTGAAAATTTTGGGCATTTTTTAAATTCCGACCAAAATCATCACAATGTACCAACATATAACTGGTATAGGATAAAATTCTTGTAAAGAGTAATTTAAAAAATAAAATAAAAGTTAATAGGGTTATGCTTTGTCCATTCCGTTTTTTATTGGACCGAATTTTATAGTGACTAAAATGGCAACCCTTTTATGACCCTTGTATGACTAGATGCCTATTGAATATAAATTTAAGATTTAATTACATAAAAATTAATTAATTGTAAAAGCGACCAATCTTTTACTTAATTTTTTTAAAAAGGAAAAGGGCAACCCTTTTTTAAATATTTTTTTGAATGAAAAAGGAGGCAAAATTCACTCGCCCACCATGTTCTTACCTTGCGTATGTTTTGTGTGAAATAAAGGTCAGCAGCATATCAAACAGTCAGCCAACCCCACTTCCAATTCTCCCCACCCTCTCTTTCATCTTCCTCTCTAACACAAAGAAGGCAAAACATCAGTGCGCCGCTCTGGATAAGAAGAACAGCACGACCCGAAAAGCAACAGCATAAAAACAGATAACAACACGACCTAGAAGTCCAAAAAAAAAAAAAAAAAAACAAACAAACTTCACAGAAGAGGAACGATGAAGGTACCCCCCCCCCCCCCAAAAACCTCATCATCAACCTGCTTCAAACCCACCTGAGTTGGATTTTTGACATGGACCAACAATAAAGTGCGTGTGAGTGTGTGTGTTTTTGTATGAACACACAATAAATATGAAGAAGCAAAGATAGCAACAAACATGTAAATTTTACAATAAAAAAACAAGAGCAAAAAAGAAGTTGACCAAACACAAAAGCATGGAACGATGGGCGGAATGAAAGAAGAAGGGAGAGATGAGGTGTAGAACTATTATAGAAGTTTGCCATGAAGCCAGAGGTCGAATTTTTTGTTTTTCAGAGGAGCATAATTTTAGGTGGGCAACACCAAAGGGATGCTTGGAAGAGCTAGAGTTAAAGTTAGACAAATTATAAATAAAAAGAAAAACGAAATAGAATCGCAAATAGTTTAAACATGCTTCAAAATTGAAAATTTTCTATTCAAAGCTTTCTCAGCTAAATATAATTTAAAGAGGTTTGTTTCCATAAGGTTTACAGAAAATATTGTCTGGAATTTCAATTCTTACTTATTTTCTAAAATATCAAAATTATTACTTTCAGAACAGGTAGTATATTCCCTAGATCTGCAATGTCCTTATAATTATTTTCTGTTAGTTTTCTGCAATCCATTATTGCTTTATCTGCAAATAGTCTTTCATCTTTATAAAATACTATTTAATTATAATAAGAACCTCACTCAATTTACATTGTTTCATTTCAATCCACTGTTCCAAACGCAACAACAACAACAAAAACACCAAAGGTACATCCAACCAAGTTATATAGGTAAGTAGTATGCCTACTAACACTTGATGCCTCGTGTAAATATTGTTTTCCATTGAGAGTCGACTCGAAATGCAGGCCATGTACGAAATATAAAATAACAATATGTTTTTGCTCTCTCTCTCCTTCACTCTCAATTTCTTTGGCAACGAATTCCCCAGTTTTCCAATGACAACAACACACCTTCATTCAGTTCATCTGTTGCTCCACTTGTTAGCATTTCAAACTCAATGTTACAACAAAGTACAATTTCTTGCCTGTGTGTGTTTTTTGTTTATGTGGGGAGAGCGTATGAATACGTGAGGGAGAGTATAAAAAACAAACATTTCCAGGAGTGTTTTAACATTGCTCTCCAATCATAACAGAGCGCACCTGTTATAATCATTGCATGCTTCTTAGAGTAGCCATTTTTGGGAAATCGACCAAAATCAAAAATTGCAAAGGAAAAAATAATACCTAAAATCGTTATTAATTAGAAAAAAATGAATATGTAACACAAAACGGCGGAATATGAAATTTTAGATACTCTTTGATATATTTGGTTTCTTCCTACAAAATTTTAGAAAATGTAATCCAAAATGCATTTATTTAAAATCGAACAATGGAAGAAGAAAAAATGTTCAGAAAATTTAGTCGCAATTTTTTCTTGTTTAAAATAGAATTTATAA